TTTGATATATAGATCCCTATTACTATTCAAACATCTATGAAGGTCTTTATTTGAGAAGTTTTGCCAATAGTTAGTCAAAATAACTAGATTGTTCTCTGTATATAAAACTCACATAAGTGTATTTATTTTTCCCTCTTAAATACAAGTTTTCACTGTTTTATTTAATAGGCTTTTTTCTTAAGATAAAGAGTTTGTTCACTATTTTATGTTTCCTAACTTTTAATCACATGGAATATGATCTGCATAACTATTACATAAAAATGGGGCCAAATATGAATCAGAAGATATGGCTCCCAAAGATCCAGTGAAAGTTCTCATATGCATAATGAACAAGCTAAATGTAAAAATTTGTACTTAAGATAGTGGTCCAAAAGCTATTATTATTTTCTCCCCTTGCCATCTCAGATGAGACAGTGTGTACTTAGAACAAGTTTGGCTAATATTTTAAAAGGAAAATATTTTTGCTGTGTTCTTTTTTAAAAGTTTTTTTTATTCTTAGATGCTTGTGATTTTTAGTTACTGTTTTCATTTTTCATAAGAGACTCTTAATGTCTTCCTTATGACAAAGTTAAAGAACCCTCAAAGAACAAGTTACTTCAAAACAAGATTCGTTTTTTTGAACTGATTGCATAAATTTGTTACAAAATACAAACTAGAGAAAATTCTACTTAGCTTTCAAATTCTAATTGTATACTAAAATAGATATTTTTTAGTATAATAGTAATATATGTATCTTGTGAAAATTGCTATTAAAATTATTTTCTTACAAACTCTTCTGACAGTAATTACACTATTTTCACCTATACACTTTTGTAGTACTATGAAGTCATGTTTCAGTTTTTAGTAAGCATCATGCTCAAGTGATCTCTAAAATCTCTTAGATCCTTAATACTTAGCTGATCATTTATCAATGAAAACACCAAATGCCTGAAAAGATATCTCAGAGACAAAGAGACTGCTATATTGACTACAGTGGTTCACTTTCTTATCCTCATGAATGAAATTTCTTTCTGTAGTCTTGTTTCTAATTGATTTATAGATTGTTATACTACCACTCTGGTTATACCTGTGATCAAAACTTGGTATACAAAGAGGGATTCATAACTGAGAGACTAGTACTTATGCTTTATGTTCACGTATATCCTTATTTGGTAGTATACTAGCCTCCTGCAAAGGGGGAATTTCCTTCACTCATAGATTCCCCTAACTGCTTCTTCTCTTCTCTTTGGGATATTAGTCAGTCAATATGCTTGTGAACCTGTTCAGGTGCTTGATGACATGTAGTCTTGAAGATATTTATATGAAGGTGTCTTGAAATTTGCAGGCACAAAGCACTAAAGTATATCGTCATATCAAATGAAGCAATGACCATTGCTATCCATAGGACAATATATTCATCTACAAAATTACTAAAGTACTGGTCTAAGAATAAAAGACCTGGCCCAATAAACACAGTATCTTGAAGGTACAGTTCACTTTTGGTCATGTGAGCAATCACCAATTTTTGTGCGACTTTAGCAAAAACACATCCAAACATTAGGGTATAAAGACAAGGATGTTTTTCAAAAACATTAGTTGCAGACTTTTTATAGATCATTATTGCCAGTATGATAATTAGTCCTATATGGAGTCCAGGTGACAAGACGCTAGTGCCTGCTATAGTAGATCCATTCTTGCCAACACCACCATGGAGGATAACATGGAAATAATTTGAACAAGAAAATACTGCTCCACCCACTACTCCAAGAACCGGAAAGATCTTCCATTTCAGTTCTATAATGGGTATCGTATAGTCCCACATTGTTGCTCCTCCAAATGTAGACAACATAAAGATGATTATTAAAGCTACCTGAATTTCCGTTACATCCACTTTTTCAAACCTCAACACGCCTGAAACATTAAGTCTGCCAGTGAGCACAGTAAAAGAGGAACATTCCAATAAATGAGCAGAAAAACAGCCAGTCAGGATGAGTTCCCAAGTGGACAGCAACTGATGCCATAAACACTGTGGAAAGGGAGTCACATCCATGATCAAAGAGTTCCCCTAAAGGAGAACAAGAATTTGTTCTTCGGGCTTGTTTCCCATCGATGGCATCTAGCGACTGGTAGATAAAGAGTCCCAGGGCACAAAGAAGGTATGTCCAGTACGGTGCCTCTTCGGTGGCCGTGGGGCAGTAGGAGATGAGCACGAGCGTGGTGAGCAGGTTGACGGCGAGGCCAAGGAGGGTGATGGTGTTGGGGGCCATCCAGAGCGGGTTCCACTGCAGCAGCCAGGTCCAGAAGAGCTGCAGCGGTGGCTCAGTGGCTCAGCGGCTCAGCAGCGCGCTCAGCGGCTCCGCCAGCGTCCTAAGCCAGCGCAGCGCCGGCCTGGCCGCCTGCAGGCCAGCGGGCCCTAGATTGAGATTCTTAACATAACAGCTTCAGTTTACTTGGCTCTACAATCAACACTCTTGGTACCAACAGTCAGGAAATTAAAAGATGAACTGCATTGGGAAAGTCAGCTGTCAGAGACCTCTCCAAAGTATGGAGGAACAATGATGTCAGTCTGGAGACTAAGGTGTGCCTGACACAGGCCATAGTCTTTGCAATTACTTACTATATATCAGAAACCTGGACAATGACTAAGGATGATAGAAGGAGAAATGATGCCTTTGAGCTTTGGTGCTGGATAAGAGTATTGAACATACCATGGACTGCTAGAAGGACAAACAAGTTTGTCCTGGAGAGGGTGAAGCCAGGCTGCCCCTTTGAGACAAAGATTCTGAAGTTTCGTCTGACATACTTTGGACATGTTGCAAAGCGGGATCAGTCCTTGGAGAGAAACATCATGCTTGGGAGAGTGGAGGAACAGCGAAGGAGAGGAAGATCCTCAGTGAGATGGATTGGTTCAGTGACTGGGATAAAGGAGGTAGATGTGTCAAAGACAATAAGATTGGCACAGGATAGAGCCGAATTTAGAGCTGTTGTACATAGCTATGGGTCACAGACGACTCGGTGTTACATAACAACACCAACACCAACTGTGATTGATGGATTGATTGATTAAAGAAACTTTAGAGGTACAGAGGCTAAAACAGTTGAAACTTACCAGTCTCTCTGTTGGAGGAAGATGGGCAATCTGCCTTCATAAGGACTTACAGCCTTGAAAACCCCACAGAAAAGTTCTACTCTGTCACTTGATAGTGGTGGATTTGTTGCTTTTCTGGAGTATGAATATCAGGCTGTAATCAAAGTGATTCCATTTTGTGGAACTTCTGACCTACCTGATTATGTCCCTGTGTTCCAGGAAATAGTAAATACTCTGATTAATTTTTACCCCTGTTGTTGTTTTTATGTGTGGTCAAGTCACCTTTGACTCACAGCTCTGAACTCTGCTCTATCCTGGGCCAATCTCTGTCTCTGACACACACCTACCCTCAATAACCCTTGTTATTGTGTCAATCCATCTCATCCAGGGTCTTTCTCTTCTGCATTGAACCTCCACGATGCATGCCCAAAGTATGTGAGATGGAGCTTCAAAATCCTAGCCTCCAAGGAACAGCTTGGCTTCATCCTCTTCAGGACTGACCTGTATGTTCTCTTGGAAGTTCATGGTATGTTCAATGCTTTTCTCTAGCACCACAACTCACAGGCATCAATTTTTCTTCTTTCCTCTTTGGTGATTGTCTAGCTTTCCGATGCATAACAGGTAACTGCAAAGACCATAGCCTGTATCAGGTGTGCCTTAGTCTCTAGACTGACATCGTTGCTCTTTAGCACTCTGGAGAGTTTCGTGACAGCAGATTTTCCTAATGCATGTATAAATGACTTTATGATCTACCCAGGAGATAAAATAAGGAGTGTTGAAATTATGGAAAATGGCCCCAGGTCCTTGAAACTGCTGACCACCCCCAACCGACCAACATAGAATGGATAAATGGCCTACTTTTCTCTTTGTTTGGTGCTGACACCAATTACAGTTCAGAAAACTTTCACCAAAATGCACATTTTATTTTGTAAATTTAATTAAAAATTTTTTTAATTAATTGTTTCACATTTTCTCCCCTCCCCAACCCCACCCCACAATGTACCCCTTGTACCAGGTTGTTCTCAAACATGTAATACATAATCATATATTCCTTTCAGAGAATTCTTGCCCCTCATCTGTTCTAATTCAGTGTTCATTTTCTATTTTCCCCTCAGTCCCCCCCTCCCGATATCTGTTCTACTTTAGAATAGTGGTTTTATGAAGTATATTTCCTTTTGCAGATATTTCACATGCATAATGTCCTCAGGCTCTCCCATGTTGTGTTTTACTATTTCATTGTTTTTTTAAGCTGTGTAGTATTACATGTGTGAACGTACTCAAGTTGTTCTAGCCATTCCTTTGCTGATGGGCAAAGCACACATTTTAAATAAAGCATATTTGCTGTTCTACTTCACTCGTGTTCCTTCTGGACTTTGTAATGAGTTTGGACCTTTCAATGATAAAGGCAGGTATTTATTAAATGAGCTTTGGATCCAAGCTATCTGAGACAGTGCATCACCAAAACAGGCTCATGGACAAGAACACTGTGCTAATGCTCTGCATTCAATGCAGTTTCGCATAGTTTTTTGAAGTGTATATTGCTAGTGAGAGGCAAAATATTTAACTTGTTTAATGGCATAAATGTACACTATGATATCATTAAACTCCTATAACTTTTTCCTTTTATGCTTCATGGTCAATTTCAGGGTGCTCTACTGGTTCAGTCCGGAGGGAGTGGAACTGCTAACTTCTAGGCGGTGGGTGACTCTCTGGAGTTTTGAATCCACTAGTGACTCCTCTTGAGAATGATAGTGCTCTCCTGCAGAGCGGTTTACAGCCTCTGAAAACCTACTGGAGGATCAGCTACGAATACGGTCTGATTTGACAGCAATGACAGAAGAACAGTTAATTTGGGGGTTTCTAGAATATCCTAAATCATTGGCTTTTTTTAAAAAAGGATTTTTGTTTTCTTGATATTGAGATGTAATCCATATTGAAGGCTGTAGTCGTTGATCTTCTGCAGTAAGCACATAAAGTTCTCTTCACTTTTAACAAGCAATGTTGTATCATTGACATAATTCAGGTTGCTTATGAAAACCGTTGGCTTTTAATAAATAAAAATATTAAGTAAAAAGTCAACTCAGGGGCAGTGAATACAAAATTTTTAAAGAAAGGACATCCAGGGAACACTGTTAAGACAAACATGTAAACCTAAGTAATAAACTCAATTTATAGAACATAATCTAGTTGATGTTAAAAATGCAGTATTAATTAAAATTAATATACAAACTTCTTTTTTTGTGGT